ATAACAGTCATAAGCATATTTCCAGTACGCGCCTCAGGCTTGCACAGTATCATCAACTCACTCATCAGAATCTTCAGTAATCCTCTGCAAACTTCGCCACGGCTCATAAGGTTCTTGTTGAGTCCTCGGTAATCCTCGGCAAACTTCAACCGTTGGTTGAACCGGCTCATTCGGTTCTTTTTGAGTTGGACGTGTTACTTCGGCTGTGCGTCCTGCGTCATCAACCCGGAACTAAAGTTAGATTCAGTTCGATTTGTGAACCGGCTTGACTGGTTACTTCCTGAGAACTGGCTCAAAAGAACGATTCATTCAAGAACCGAACATCACTACTTTGTGCTCCTTCGAGCTTCTTCCCCAGCAACCCGTGACATTACCTCTAGAAAGCTTTTTATTTTATTTTGGTTGTTTACGTCCAGATAAAGTACAGTAGCAGTAGATAAATATCTGTTGGGTGTGCTTTTGGCAGCCAGTAGGAAGGCAATTACACGTAAATGGTTAAAACAAGAAAGACCAAAATTAGATAATTAGTTGTGACCATAGAGATTTGTATGATGGAAAACACCACCTTTTCTGTTAATTTAAAGAAGGATCCTGGAAAAAATGGAGGAAATTGGTTGAATTTGTGTAAGAAATAAGGTATGATCTTTTTAAATATTAGGAAATTAATATATAGAATAATGACTTTAATGAAAGTTGTTTGAGTTTATTTTGGATGAAATTAAATTAGGCCACACGTTCTCTCCCTGGATGAACATAGTCCTTATTTCTACCTTCATTTTAACTTATTTATTATTATTAATTTTTAAATATTTATTTTTTATTCCCCCTTTTTAATTTTGTAAAAGAAAAAGCACATTAGGCAATTGTTCTTGGGCTTGTATCATGATGGTAGCTGAACAAACTCAGGTTAAAGGATTTGTTTTAGTTGACAAAACCAAACCAGTCCAACCCGGCTTTGTTGGTACCATGAAGCTGATCATCAACTTTCTCTGTCAAATCAGGCTTTGATTTACTACCAAAGATTAAAAGATTGAACAATATGAAGAATTTAAACACATTTACACAGCAAGATGAAACGATCTATGCATGAAAGAGGAAAACTTAAAGAAAACATCTTGCCACATCAGTGCAAGTAAAAGTTGTCAAGTTAGTTTATAGAGTTGATAATATTTATAAAAACATTTAAAAATCTAAGATCATATGTAGTCATGTTTAAAGCTATTGATTCTAAAACGTATTTATATTGCATATTATCTATATATTTATATGAATTGAACATAAAAGCTTAAAGGGGTCCTATTATGCTCTTTTACAAAGTCTTGATTTTGTTTTTGAGGTAGTGATTTCTGTTAAATAAAATATCTCCTTTTGAATTGGACTTTGAACTTTGTAACTTTGCAGATCTTTTTTATGCTCAAACAGCAACATTACAGACTAACTAAAGTTGAAAAAGTGAAAACGCATAATAGGACCCCTTTAATAATTGCTAATAAAATAAACTGGCTTGTGTAATGGATTAAGGGTATAATAATTATATAAATCATATAAAATAAATATAATAAATAATTATCTCTAAATGTCAGATGATTTTATCTTTAAAAATGTTTTACTATCTAGTGTCCTTTAATTTGGAGCAAGAGAAACTGGGGGAGTGGCTTTATTGCGTCAGAGATGTCACTTTGCTTGAAGCTGATTGGTCAAATTTCAGTTTGAGATCTCTAAACGAAAACATAACCTGCCTTGGAGCAGGTTAGCTGTGGAACGTAAGTTACTATGGTGATGAACACCGCTAAAAAATTTCCATGGTACCTAAAACCCAGAGTTGGCACAAACTAAACTGAAACTTACCTGGCTAGCCAGCTTAAACTGCTTCATGGTACAGGCCCCTTGTCTTTATATTGTCAAGATACTTTATGATTGCATTGAGTACTATATGTAAATGAATGTTATATGTTTGTATACCTATGAATGCTCAAAATAAACAAAATGTAAAAGAAAAAAGAAAGAAAAAAAAAAGGGAAAGGGAAAGGCCTAACTACATAAGGTCTAACAACTGTTTTTGTTTGTTTTTGCTTTGTCATAATAGTGTATGGACTGTAGATTGGTGTTAAAAAAAATCAATGCATCAAAGCATTTCAGCACAAGGCTGCAACATGTGATAAAAAGAATAGGTCTGAATTTTTTTTCTTTTTGAATGCACTGTATAAAACTGGCTCAAGACTAGTTTAAAGGGATAGTTCACCCAAAAATGAAAAAAATGTTGTTTATCTGCTTACCCCCAGGGCATCCAAGATGTAAGTGACTTTGTTTCTTCAGTAGAACACAAACGAAGATTTTTAACTCAAACCGTTGCAGTCTATCAGTCTTATAATGGAGGTGAATGAGAATCACGGCTTTGAGAGTAAAAAAACATACACAAACAAAACCAAATTAAACCTTGCGGCTCGTGACGATATATTGATGTGTAAAGACACGAAACGATCGGTCTGTGCAAGAAACTGAACAGTATTTATATCGTTTTTTACCTCTGATTCACCGCAATGTCCGAACTGTCCTGAGCGCGTCCTCAGCAGCCGGCGCGTGACGCGTCTTCTTCTTCAGCCTGCGCGTGATGCATCTTCTTCTTCTTCTTGCTTTACGGCAGATTGCAGACATATAAGTGCATTACCGCCACCTAGCCGGTGCGTGACGCGTCTTCTTGCTTTACGGCGGATCGCAGACTTATAAGTTCATTACCGCCACCTATCTCTCAAATGAACTATTGACACTCCTAATTGAAATTATAGATGGAGTGTCAATGGTCCATTTGAGAGATAGGTGGCGGTAATGCACTTATAATTCTGCAATCTGCTGTAAAGCAAGAAGAAGACGCTTCACGCACCGGCTGAAGAAGAAGACGCGAACGCGCTCAGGACAGTTCGGACATTGCGGTAAATCAGAGGTAAAAAACTATATAAATACTGTTCAGTTTCTTGCACAGACCGATCGTTTCGTGTCTTTACACATCAATGTATCGTCACGAGCCGCAGGGTTTAATTTGGTTTTGTTTGTGTGTGTGTTTTTTTACTCTCAAAGCCATGATTCCCATTCACTTACATTATATGACTGACAGTCTGCAACGGTTTGAGTAAAAAATCTTCGTTTGTGTTCTACTGAAGAAACAAAGTCACCTACATCTTGGATGCCCTGGGGGTAAGCAGATAAACATCACATTTTCATTTTTGGGTGAACTATCCCTTTAAGTCCTATTGACTATCACAGTCACTGTGAAGCAATGAAGGAGGAAATATACTATTTCCTAAACACCAAAGAAGGAAATACTTTTACTAATGATAAATTATGATGTAGAAAAGTTTAAATGTTGTGCTGTTCCTGACTGTGGAATCACATGTCTCTCTGCATAATCTTAGGAAAGTCTAACATTTATTTTTAAGGTCATTTCAGTAAATATTTCAATCTGACCTTTACAGTCTGTATGGCATAAGAGGAAAAAACTGCCTGTTTAACTGTAGGAGTTCGAGGGTGGAAATGTTTATGGGAAACTCAGCTACAACCTTTACTAAACTGGCACATTTACAGAGATGTTCATAAAAAAGAAGAACATCTGTTCATCTACAGTAGCTTACATACTCACAGTGCCTTGCTGCAGTTCACCACAGCTGGTATCAGTCTTCTTCTACCCTCATTTGATGTGTTGTATTTTCTTGGATCAAACTCATCCAGCACCTCTTCTGATATCTGAAGCATGTAGACGATTGTTGAGCATTGAGACGGAGAGAGTTTCCTCACTGAGTGATTCTCTGATTTCATAAACTCCTGAATCTCTCTGTACAGAGTCTGATCCTTCATTTCCAGCAGACAGAGGAACAGATTGATGCATCTGTCAGCTGAGAGACGTTCATCACCCTTGAGTTTGTCTTTAATGTACTGTGTGATTCTCTTGATGATCTCTGAGCTGTTCACTGTGTGTGTCAGCAGATCCTGTAAGAGTCTCTGATTGGACTCCAGTGAGATGCCCAGCAGGAACCGCAAGAAAAGATCCAGCTTTCCATTTTTACTGTATAAAGATTTATCAACTGATGCTTGTAGCAGCTCATACAGAGAGATTTCATTGTACCTGTACCACGATTCCATAAAGAATTTAAGTAATTTCATGTTCTCAACAACATGGCAGTAAAACACAAAGAAAGCCGCTAGAAACTCTTGAAAGCTCAGATGAATGAAGCAGTAGACTTTCCTCTGATGAATCACAGATTCCTCCTTAAAGATCTCAGTGCAAATCCCAGAATACACTAAGGCGTCAGTGACGTCTATGCCGCTCTCAATCAGGTCGGATCGTGACGTGACTCCTGACGTTGTTCGTGGCCACGTTGGCCTGGGCGGAGCTCGCGCTTGGGGCTTCTTGTTATTGTTGTGTTGGCCGTCGCCATTAAAGGCTTGACTAAACTATTCTCTCGTGTCAGCGATTCAATATACCTCACCTACACACTGGCGTTTAGTAAGAACAGTCTTGATTTTGTCTTTCTCCTCAAATCCTGGTTCATGTAAGTGTTTAAAGATGTCATTGCAGTAGATTGGAGTGTCTTGTGTTCTGGGTCTTTTCTCTATCTGTAAAACCACATGTTCTTCATTCACTCCTTCACTCTTTCCCTCTATGATGTAGAGCTGTGTGTAGATCCTGTTCAGGAGGGATTGATTTTCCTGTAGTTTGATTCCTTCAAATAATCTTTCATACTTGTTCTTCATGCTGTTTTTGTACTGGTATTTGACTCTCTGCCTGATAAGCGTCTGAGAGTTGGAGCCAGTGCAGGTCAGACGGGGCGTCACTGATCTGATCACATAATCTCTCTTCACTCTGCAGAAACAGATTAAAAGATTAAAAGGAAAAACTGTGAAAAAGCATTAAAAGAGAGAAAATCATTTAAACGGGTCATATGATGCCATTTCAAATTTTCCTTTCTCTTTGGAGTGTTACAAGCTGTTGGTCCATAGATAAGATCCCTAAAGTTGCAAAGACTAAAGTCTCAAACCCAAAGAGATATTCTTTATAAAAGCCTCGCTTTTCAGACCTATGAGCTTTGTAAAAATCGACGCGTTTCAGAAAGGCGGGGCATAGAGGAGAAGCAATTATGTACAGTATGTGGAAAATAATGTGTTTTTTTAACCTTAAACCGCATAAACACATTGCATTACACCAAATACACAACATAATGTTCTTTTTAGCAACATCATATGACCCCTTTAAATGTTCCAACACACCAAATTCTAAGCTCTAATATGAAATGACACCACAGTCAGTTCGGAAGTGTCAGTTCAGACAGTGTTTTTGATTCAGGTTTAGGTTGTTTTTCATGTTCTATCTATCTATCTATCTTTTTTTTTTTTTTTTCTCACTGAGAGTCAGAGGTCACTGCTCCATCACTGAGATTAGGGGGAGCAGGCAAAGATCTGTCACTCTTCACAGACACACAGCTGGGTTCTGGAGATGCTGCTTTATGTGTCTGAACATCCTCCTCCCCCTCTTCTTTCCGCTCATAGAGACTCATTGTAGATGCAACACTGTAGAAAATCACAGAACATGAATATAAAACTTTCTACTGTAGATATAATAGTGAATATTAAAATTAATTCTTTAATTGTGAATTGTTCAGCAGTAACACTATAATGGCACAAAAATGTATACATTGAAACGAACTATCCATTCTGTATTCACATATACAAACAGGTCAGTATCAGGGAATCTTCCTGATTTCCTGTTACAGACTTTGTAAACAGCTGAAAACTTTGTTAATGACCAATACAGCTGCTGCTATCCTGATGTGATCAATAAATTTGTTTAATCACTGATCTCATAAAGTATATATGAATCATTATATACAGTCTTTGAATATGAAACTATCAATCTGGATATATTTTCATAGCATAGTTCGGTTTCTGTTATATTTCTGTACTAATAATACTAAAATCACCTAAAAAGTGATCAAAGCATCTGAAAATGCACTGACATTCCAGTAGCCAATACAAATACATATTACCATGCACATACAGATTAAACAGTACATGAATATGAATCCAGTCATGCGTTCTTTTAAACCTACCTCTGTGTCATCAGCAATGAATCAAACATCATAGATCCATTCTGTTTGTCTCAAGACAGCAGCATTTCAACTGAAACCTCATTAACAAATACATTTCTCACATGATGTTTTGCACTTTCTTTTTCACAAAATGCACTTTGAACAGATTTGAACAGCAAAGAGCAAAAACGTCTCAGGTTACTTATGTAACCATGGTTCCCTGAGTAGGGAACGAGACACTGCGTCCTCTAGGGGTCGCTATGGGGAACGCCTCGTCGTGACCCGTGTCTGAAGCATACATTGAAAAAACACCAACAACACGTTGGCCGGCCCATGACATCACTACCGGTGCAATTATAGTATAAATAGGCACCGGGAGAACATGTCATCCACTTCTTCATCTGAAGCTTGCGGGAAAACCCCTTTTTAAACTCATCAGCCGGATCCACCTGCGATCCCCACGAGCCCATCCTCCTCCGTGCCTCAGCAGCGGTGGGTCCTGAGTCGTGGGAAGCAGATGGCTGCCCCCCTTTCCTCGAAAAGAGAGACAAACGAGAGCGGAGCTTTTCATTAAAATACGCTCACAATGAACGCGGATTGCCCCCTAAAGGACATCGCGTGAGTGCTCTTTGCCCAAACAAACAACGGAGAGATCGTGTGTGTCATCAGGTGTCAAATAACGACGACGCGGATGCACACACCCTCTAAACGCTATGCTAGTGCTCGCCATAACGATAGGAATATAGATCGCTCTTACCACGGAAATGCACGCTTCAAACAAAACGGTCAGTGAAGACGAAGAAGAGAATGACATGTTCTCCCGGCGCCTATTTATACTATAATCGCACCGGTAGTGATGTCATGGGCTGTCGCCGGCCAACGTGTTGTTGGTGTTTTTTCAATGTATGCTTCAGACACGGGTCACGACGAGGCGTTCCCCATAGCAACCCCTAGAGGACGCAGTTCGAAGTTCCCTTGAAAGGGAACTATGATTATATAAATCTTTGGAATCAACAAAGAACAAAGAACCATCAAATAACAAATAATTATGAAAACTCTCAAGGGCTCATCAGGAAGACACATTAGAGACAAGAAGGCATCTTGTCAGATGATACACATCCATAATATTGTCTTAAATAAAAATATGTATCTATGTATTTACTGGCTTTTACATATATACCCAGTAAGGAATGGAAATTGGACTGAATGGGGGGGCTATCAAAATGAATACCATAAAATAATAATATCCTGTAATCCCAATGACTGGTCCATCCTAAGCAGCACTGAAAAAAGTCACATCATTCATATTACTGAAATTATTGTACTTTGACCTGTTTTATTGCTCATAAACCTGCACTATGCAAGTACATGAATGCAGTGACAATCCCTTGACAATGTCAATAAATATTTGATTTTTGTGAGACAATTATTAGGAAGAGTTACAATCATATTTTAGGACAGATCAATACAGCCAAAACCACATATCAATATACACATTAAAGTGAAACATGTTAAAGTGTTAAAGAGAGAGAAACTGTAATGTGAGTGGATAGTGAACAAAATTAGAAAACAATGCGTAAAGAAAACAAAAATAATGACTTTATTCAACAATTTATTCTCTTCCGTGTCAGTCTTTGACGCACGTTCAGGAGAGTACCACGACACATGCGTGTGCATTCCTCTGCTTGCAAACATACGCATGCGTGGTACTCTCGTGACTGACATGGAAGAGAAGAAATTGTTGAATAAAGTTATGTTTCGTTATATTCACTGACATCAAGAGAAGTGGTTAAATTCAAAGGATGTGTAAGTGCAGAGAGAAAAGAGAAGAGTGAATTTCCAGGTGTTGGAATCCTGCCCAGTTGGCTGAAGACTGTGGGAGAAAATGAAGTCGGTAGAGAGAGCTGAAGGAGTCGATGTGTTTCTGCTGATGTAACCACACCAGTTTAACTCCCCTCACTCAATCTGAGCAGGATTCGAACCCACGTTTAAGGCATGGGAGGTGGGCGCGCTAATGAGAATACTAAAGAACGCAGCCTCTTCCAGCGTTACACTGAGATCCATGATTCAGTCAAAGCCAAAATGTTTTGACTGGCTGACAAAGGCAGGATTGAAGACAGCTTGTATACTCTATCACAGTTTACAGAAATTCAAACATATAGCCTATAGTCTGGGTCTTTATCAAATAAACCCCTTTAAACTGTTAACCTTTTATTAGAAAAGTTCTGTGTTCATATATTTATAATCTGAATAGATTAACAGATATTGAACTCTAACATTACCAATACTTCAACTGTCACATAATGAATATTTTATATTTTCATAATTGTGAATATTGGATCGTGTTGCATAATATAAGCATCCAATAAGTTACAGTATTTACATGTTATTTTAAGCAGTGACAGAAAATTCAGTGAATGTCACACACTCATGTGACCTTGAAATAGCAAACCATCATGTCATTGATTTTTGCGACATGATGGAAAAAAATGCCCCACAACTTCACCTTGCATTAATTTTTATTACAACCCTAAAAGCAAAACTGTTAAAAAAAAATTAAATGTTAATAATAAATATTTAACACATTACTTTATTTAACAGTTTTCACCCATATTGAGTGATAAACAGACATGAAAACAGACTTTTACTGATTATTGATGAAAATTACAATAATTATATATTATGATATTTTAATAGTTAATTAAACAGTTAATGATAATTTTCTATTAAATGGGCTGTGAAGATTTGGAAGCAACAGGATAAAATATATAATTTGAGCATAAAATATCACCCCATAATAATGTTGAGCTCAAGACACAAGCTGATCATTGAATGTATTCAAGCTCTATCTATGAAAGATCAAACTCAAACTCTCCTGATCATGGAGTCTCTGCAAAGACTAAATCTGACATGAGTTTGATCCACATCTTCAACTCTATTGAACAATCAGTTTGACTGTGATTGTAATAGACAGTTTCCTGTGAGCGAGAAACTGAATCTTCCTCCAAGTGGCCTTTGTCCTGTTGAGCTGCATTCGAATGTCTTTATAAAAACACAACATAAGTATTTAGTGTGTCTCATTTAGACTGTAGTCAACATTTGTGTTTCTGTATACACAATAAAATTAAGATTAAAAGAGAGAAAGAGTTTACTGTACTTTGTTTTTCAAATCTATTTTAGCAGTCGGCATCATGTGCCATATATTATTACAAACAGGAGAACTTGAAGTTTCACTCTAATTAAAGTCCCAATTATACATTTGCTTTCTCTAAAAATGGATGAATTTGCCAGATTTAAAAAAACACACACACACAAGCAACAATTTGGTGTTTTTTCCCCTTTAGTTATACTTGGATGTTTTACACTTCCAAATGAAATTTTGTCTACATCTAACATTCCATAAGCAAGTTATAGACATTTTTTTTTTAACATTATTATTCTAGGCATTTTTCAGAGAAAAACAGGTCTATTTTATTTACTGACTAGATGTGTCCAAAGATGTTCAGGGAGTAAAGTTTTATAATATAATAAAGATTATTATATAATAACAGAACACTGAAGCAAAAGAGGCTTTTTTAAGAGATATATTTTCAATCTGAACATAAACAACAAACACAATCAGGGTTGCAAGTAGTGAAAAAAATTGTGCACTGTCTTGTGCAACAAAAATATAAACAGTGCAAATAATTTTCATAAATTACACAGAAAAAGAGAGAGAAATATACTGAGTGCAACTGAACAAATAGTGCAAATGATCTTCACAAACTATAAAATAAATATTTACAAAATATAACCACCAAATGTACTCTGTAGGCTGTACTCCTCCTCACTGCAGCAGGCATCTGCATTGGAGCGATCGTACTGGGACATTACATAGCAACTTGATTCCAATGCTTTACCCGATATGTACCGCTGTTTCATTCTTGTTTTTGGTTTCTGTTATTTTGTGTTTTTCATGCATGCACATACCTACATTCACTTTGCATTTGTTCAGATTTCCAAAGAAGACCAAAACCTACCTTTATTGGTTGAGTAGATGACAGTATGTTCCATTCTGGGCATCTAAGCATCAACAATCATTTTCTGTTTGGCTCAGAGAACAAACTGACAAATCATTGCTGATCAAAATATGATGAAGGAACCACATTAACTATGGAGCCACTGAATGTCCAACTGAGACAGTTACAAATGACATATTTGAGACAAATACCTTATAAAATCTCCTAATTATGAGAATCTTTAAAGCATTCAGATTGGATTAGCAGTTCAAAAGTTATTAACATTTGTGACCCTTGACCACAAAACCAGTCATAAGGGTCAATTTTTTTAAGTTTAGTATATATTATTTAGTATAAATTTAATATATCTGAAAACTGAATAAATAAGCTTTTCATTAATGTATGGTTTGTTAGGATAGGACAATATTTGGCTGAGATACAACTATTTGAAAATCTGGAATCTGAGGGTGCAAAAAAATCTAAATATTGAGAAAATTCTTGCCAATGCATATTACTAATCAAAAATTAGGTTTTGATATATTTATGGTAGGAAATCTTTACTTAATATCCTAATGACTTTTGGCATAAAAGAAAAATCGATAATTTTGACCCATACAATGTATTGTTGGCTATTGCTACAAATATACCCCAGCGACTTAAGACTGGTTTTGTGCTCCAGGGTCACATTTAAGAGCAATAGTTATTTTTAGCTCTGGGTGTCTGTCTCTGTCTTTCAGGGTTAATCTCACACAGAGACACTGAAGTATCATAAAAAACTGTAAATCCAGCATAGAGGGGTTCAGTGAATGTGCTGTTGAATGTGTGTAAGTGTGTGAGTGTGTGTGTGTCAGAGATGCTGTAGAAGGACAGAGTGCCAGCCGACCAGTCCAGATACACTCCTACTCTGTTATAGAGACATGAAGGGGCAGATATTTCTGTAATCTTATTACTGTGACTGACAGTGAATCTGTCAATAAACCAGTTTAGACTCCAAGACTTTTCATTGAATCCAAACCAACAGTCATCACTGCATCCTTTCCTGCTGATTCCTTTATATGTCACTGATACATAAACTGCCCTCCCACACCATTCAGCCTCCCAGTAACAGCGTCCAGACAGACTCTCTTCACACAGAACCTGATAACACTTATCAAATCTCTCTGGACGATCAGGATATGGCTGCTTCTCTTTCACAAATTCCACTGTTCTGTTCATCTCAGACAGGGCGAGTTGAGTGTGTGCTGTGTTTAAATCCAGTGTGAGATCACATGCATCTGAACACAAGAGAGACTTTAACATTTCTAACACAAAAACAATGATTAAGCTGTCTGTCTGTCTGTGTGTGTGTGTGTGTGTGTGTGTGTGAGAGAGAGAGAGAGAGAGAGGAACCTACATTTCTTTAGTCCTGTTGTAATCCTGATCTCTCCTCGATGACCCACACTATTAAAACAAAAGATTTTACTCAATTTAAAAAAGGAAGAAAACAAATTGAGCCAAATGACCTTTTGTAATTGCCAAATTAAATACTCTATGGTTGTTCAGAAATGCTGAACATGCTCTTTTCTGATGATCTATTTCTGCGGTTCCCAATCCGAGTCCTGCCGCTCTGCATATTTTGCATGTCTCTCTTAGTTAACACACCTGATTCAGATAACCAGCTCGTTAGAAGTGACAGTGAGCTACGTGCATGAACTGTGTTCCGATTGATATGATCCCTACAGTGTTCATTGCTCCCTACTCCCTGAGCAGGGGAAATCCGTTTAAGTTTACTTCACTTTGGAACATTCATTCATGGATTTGCACTGCGCCGCTGCCTGCACACACAGACGAAACTTACTAGAGAAGTGTGAAGCGTGACATCATTTACCTCTGTAAATAAATAAAATTTAAATACACGTTTCGCACACTTCAATGCCCTTTAAATGGAACATATACAGTCGTTTCGAACTGGAATCATGGCAGAATATCCGATGTTGTCCACTTCGCAGGGCACTTACGGTCGAATAGAACAAATGTCGTACATCATAAGAGATGTATACGGAATATGGGGGGGGTAGTGGCGGTTTGGGAAACGCTGATCTATTTCATTGGTTTACGATTGACGGAGATGCATCAAACTCTGTAAATTGACTTTAATGTTACTTTGTCACTGTCAGAAGATCAGCTAGTGTGTTTGCAGTAGTTCATGCTGTAACACTAGTGCACTTCATTCTTTTTATACATGGAGGTGAATAAATGAATTGAACTATATATCCAAACTCAGGCCAGTGTCTCTTCTGATTAAGATCCTTTGAGATCCTCTGTCTGTCCTCCAGCATTTGATGTAGTGACTCACAGCCTCTAATACTGGATAAGATCCTTAAGCTTTGAGCTATAGAATCACTTCTACGTTTACTGATCATGCACCTATATCCTTTCATTTAATGTTTTAATTAACTAAAATTCATCATTTAACTGCAGAAATTTCTTGCTGTTCTGTTACGCTGAGCTGATCTGCTTTATTCAGTATCATGAGATCAAACATAATTTCTTCTCACAGACTGTGATCTCTTGAGTTTGTATCTTGGATCTGTTTTTGCCTAATGTCTCTGACAGCAATGACAATTTACTTTCTAGAGCAGCAACAAGCTTTGAATTGATGTTTTGGGATCAGAGACTTGAATGTGTTTCCGAGATGCTGCTGTTATGAGTCACAAGCAGCTGTTGAACTGAATCAAGATCAACTTCACTCACAGAGATCAACAACATGTTCTTATTTTCCAGTGCAGTATGTATGTGTATATATGTGCTGTATGCAGGGATCTATGTACATAGGAGTTTTCATTGACTTCATGACACACACATGTACAACCACAAATGACAGGATGATTGTTAGTGTTGAACATACTTGAGTTTGTCCAGTCTGTAGTTTGGATCAGAGAGCAGCTTGACTAATGATTGTCCTGGGTGATTGTAGCTCAGATCCAGCTCTCTCAGGTGTGAGGGGTTTGAACTCAGAGCTGAAGCCAGAAAACAGCAGCCTTCCTCTGTCACCATACAACCAGATAACCTACAAACACACACAAACACACACACACTCAACATCACGTCTCTTTTAGTGCATTGGAAAGAAAATAATAATAATTTGGATTAATTTGGATTATGGATATAATGAAAAAACAAATTTATCTAAACAAATAAACCACATTTTATTTATGATAAAACAAAGAAAAATGTTGTGAAGCCTACGTATGTGCAATACTTCAGAGTCTGAACATCTTTTTATTAAAGAAATGCTAGAATAGAATACAAAAAGCATATAACATTAAAAAGCAATAGAATAACATAGTTAACATAGTTAAAACAGAATAACAAGTTAATTATATTAATTACAAGACTGTACAAATCAGTGGCGGCTCGTCGGGGGAGGCAGGGGAGGCACAGCTTCCCCATAATTTTGAGGTGAAAATGGGAGGAGGATGATTTAATGTTAATAAAATTCACAATTCATTTCAGTTCATGTACACAGACTTTTAAGAAGGGATGGATGTTTGCTTCAAGTGATAGGCCAGGTAAGTGAAATTATATTATCTTGCTGTATGTATGTCATTTTCTTTCCCTTTCCTGACTAAAGCAACCAAAAAGCCATTTTAAAGTGGTTAAGCAAATTATAATAATAATAATCGGCAGGGATCCAAGACCAATGCAATTAGTGTGCCTCCTCTATTTTAAAACCCACGAGCCGCCACTGGTACAAATTAAACAATAATAATGTTAACATTGCTTTCATGCACTTTCTGATACAATTATCAAGTGTTAAATCAACTGAAGTCATTCAAATAAAGGAATATTTCCAGGCGATTATTCAAAAATAACTAGCTTAATCATCTTAAACGAGCCATATCTCTGGGTTTGAGCACAATGATCAGATAGCATTAGCAGGTCCTCGTTTATCTCATGACTGTGGCAACACCAGCAATGCTGACATTCACCTCACTCACATAATCTCCCGCCTCTGTTCGTGATTTGCACTGTGCCAAAACATTCCACGGAGTGGCAAAACAAGATGGTAGAGAGCAGGGGTCTCCAGCCCTGCTCTTGGAGAGTTACCATTCTACAGACTTTAGTCCCAACCCTGCTCCAACACACCTTTCTGTAATTATCAAGTAACCCTGAACACTTTGATTAGCTGGCACCCTCAGCACCCCTACTTCCTGCAATAAATACAGTGACTTGCATTGAACTGCAAGCGCTCACACCACAAATAAAGTAGAAAATCACATCTGGAAATATTATTTGCAGCAGCTCGTTAATACCCGGCCACTTGTTTGTACGGATTAAAGGGTTAGTTCACCCAAAAATGAAAATTCTGTCATCACTTACTATCATTATTACTCACCCTTGACACATGCGTGTGCATTCCTCTGCTTGTAAAAATGGCGCAGTTTGTTTAGAAGCAGAGGAATGCACACTAGTGCATCGTGGTACTCTCGTGATGAACATGCGTCGAGGACTGACACAGAAGACAAGAAATCCTTGAATAAAGTCATTATTTTTGTTTTCTTTGCACACAAAAAGTATGCTTGTACTAATGTCCTTACTACCTTTCTGGGCCTTGAAAATTTCAGTTGCATTGCTGTCTATGCAGGGTTGGAAAGCTCTTGCATTTAACCAAAAGTATCTTAATTTGTGTTCTGAAGATGAACAAAGGTCTTACGGACTTGGAATGGCATGAGGATGAGTAATTAATTACATAATTTTAATTTTTGGGTGAACTATCCCTTTAAGCCCATTCATTTATTTGATCACACTCCTCTTGTTCGGCATCTCTAATAGTAAGGAATCTTCAACTTGGTTCATTCAAGTCAAGTTATTTATTCTTATAGCATCCACAATACACATAATTTCAAAGCAGCTTTATAGTACCTTATTCTGTTACCTCTATAATGGCTTAATGCTTTAACATTGAGCAGTTTTAAGACCGGGCAATATGATGATATATAATGATGATAAACAATCCATGCATGTTTGAGATCTAGCTATATTGTATTTATTCTTCCCTTATGAAAATTAACCATGGTTTTACTAAGAACATGGTTACTATAGTTAAACTATGGTAACCACAAATTAACCATGGCTTTGCTACACTAACCATAGTTTAACCATGGTATTTCTAGTAAAACTGTGGTTATACAAATGGTAATCAATACGCCAAAATATAAAACCATACTAATTTTCGTAAGGGTTTCAGCAGTTATATCAGTACCACTTTAGTGAAGGAGACTGAATACTATTTAATGAATTTTTTTCACGGATGTTTATTGTCAAGTTATTTTAATTTTCTTGTCAAAACTGGCGACAGTCCATTGACAATAATGCTTATACGCTATTAATCGAAGCCGGATGTGGTGACAAGCGTTATGTGGTAAAGGTCTATGAACAGAAATACACTGCCCGTTTAATTTTTGACTGATGTGATTCCTGTAACTCCATTAAACCAAATGAATAATGGATTTAATGTACAACTTATCCACAGATCACTGATTTGTTGTTGAAGCGGAATTAATATCAATAACAATTTATGTTCACTCCTCACAACTTAAACAATTTATTTAGTGAATAAACCATTTATAATAATAAATCAAATAAATAATTCAATAAAAAAAAATGTAAAAAAAATTACCTCAGTATGTTGAGTTGACAGTGTGAACTCTTCAGTCCATCAGACAGAAGCTTCACTCCTGAATCCTGCAGGTCATTGTTACTCAGGTCCAGCTCTCTCAGTGAGTTTGATGATTGTAGAGATGAAGACAAACTTTCACAGCACTGATCAGTGAGATTGCAACCCGTCACTCTAAACAGAACCAGGTAAAATATTGTCATGTATCTTTCCAAAACATGCAATTCCTGACTATTTTTCCACTGTGACTCTAGTTAGTGAAAGCAGCTGGCAAGTACTGTTTAACACATTGCATTATCAGACACTGACAGGTCAAATTTACTGTGTCTGGACTAAGTTACATTTACATTTAGCAGACGCTTTTATCTAAAGCGACTTACAAATGAGGACAATAAAAGCAGTCAAAACTAACAAAAGAGCAACAATATATAAGTGCAAATAACAAGTCTCGGTTAGCCTAACGCAGTACACGTTAGAGCCCTGCACGGGCCTCAAATATAGGCCCTAGCCCGGCCCTGGCCCGAGACGCTCAGGCCCTGGCTCGGCCCGGGTCCAACAGCTCATATCATTCGGAACTGTAAAGGGTCTACTTTTATTTGTGTGCACTCACAATATCAACAAAACGTTGTACTTTTATAAAATAAAGGATACATACAGGATGCGCTTTCTGCAATTTCGGCCAGGAGCGCTTCACAATGATGAACCGAAACTCAGCGAATACTTGCCTCACAGACTTGCTAAATATATCTATAGAACATTTTAAATTACTACTTTAAAACTAAATAATTCAACTCAAAAACAAAAACTCTTTTTACGAATTTTATCAAATCCATAAAAATGCATTTCTCTCTAAAGGCGCCTCCAATGAGGAGATGGCGAGTCAGGATCGTCGTCTTCATCTTTGCGACACGGACTCAGAAAACACTAATTTATGAATAAATAATTAAAATATCTCCTTACTATTTCCCCCCAACACATTCATGGTAATTACTTTTGCTGGGGCTTTGCGGCACGCTTTAGCCTATTGCGTGCGTTTTTTGCTGTCATGTGCAAGGATATGTTTGCAGATTCTACACTGCACACGACCAATTGACTCACTGTTTGCTGTGGTAATCAAATCAAAACTCTTCCAAAATGCAGCTTTTCCCGAAGCATTGGGAGCTTTTAGGGGAACTTTTGGAAACGAAGCATGGGGGACCCGACGGGCTTGCAGACCTCTAGTACATGTAGCAAGGTGTATATATATATATATTATACACACACACACACACACACAAAGAAAAACAAGTAGATAGAACAGAAAAAATAGAAAGCTAGTGTTTTTTTATTTTTTATCTAATGGTGTATAAAGCAAATCTGCAGGACCGGGCAGTTTTAGCAATGTGGTCTGAGAAATTCAGCTTATCATCAATCATAACTCCAAGGTTTCTAGCTGTTTTTGAAGGAGTTATGGTTGATGAGCCTAACTGGATGGTGAAATTTTGATAAAGTGATGGGTTCTATCATCACAAGCAGTTCTATCATCAAAAACAATGTACTGTCAAGAGCATGCCAAACCAACAGGTGGCGATATAATCTCAACCGTAACGCCATGTTGGCCAATTAAGTTACATTTAACTTGAAAATCACAAACCTCAGTATGTTGAGTTGACAGTGTGAACTCTTCAGTACATCAGACAGAAGCTTCACTCCTGAATCCTGCAGGTTATTGTGACTCAGGTCCAGCTCTCTCAGTGAGTTTGATGATTGTAGAGATGAAGACAAACTTTCACAGCACTGATCAGTGAGATTACAGCCAGCAATTCTATAACACATGATTAAATGTGTTTTAAGATCACATGACAAATATTTTTCATCAGGATGTGAACAATGAATATTGACTGACCACTTAAACACTAAACAACACTAAGGCCATGTCCACACGTACACGGGTATTTTTATAAACAGTTTTTTCTTCTTCCGTTTTAAAAAAAATCTCTGTCCACATGAAAATGCAAACGCATGCTATGAACCACTGTCAATAGCATGCCAAACCAACAGGTGGTGATATAATCTCAATCGTAAAGCCATGTTGGTCAATCAGAAGCCATTGGATGTTGTGTGGCACGTGGACGCACCTTCCGGGAGGGGGGAGTAATGTCAGTCCTGTGTTCCTGTGTCTTGTGTTTTTCTCCCCATGTTCTCCCCATTATCTAGTTTCTCCCTCGTGTCAATTATGTTCATTTGTTTCAGCTGGTTCCCGTTAATTTCCTTGATTTAGTCCCATTACTTAAGCCCTGTGTCTTTCCATGTCTAGTGTCCGGTATTGTACGTCTAACCCCAATGCTACATGTGTGTTCCTGCCCGTTCCATGTGTGTCTTTATTTGGATTTAATAAAGACTGTGATGAACTCTGAATCTCCTTAGTCTCTGCGCTGCTTCGTCTCCTCCACAGTAGCAGTATCGTGACACTGGTATTCCAACACATTATATTCAATTAATAAGAAATTATCCTAATGAAATAAGTAAACATTACCTATCAAGCCATTATTTTTATATTTGAAGTCTTCCAGTACATTCTTACAAAGCAAACAAACTAAGAATGCAAATGGTTATTTAAGTTTTGAGCTTATTGAAAGTGTGAGCAAGTTATGTTGATCTCCATTAGGAGCAAATGTCAGATCAGTGCAACAGACAGAAGAGACACCTCATATGTCAAAGTGCTCATTCTGAAATTTCTGAAATATATATTTATGCTTTGTAAGGTATGCACACATAACTTAATTAGCTTTGTTCAGCTATTCACTGTGACTATGTAATTAAGTTGCTTTATACTATATTGTTTTATTTGGGAACTTATTTGGGAATAGCAATATGACTGCCTGTACACCTCCGGTGGCTTTACTGTCTGCTGGCTATTTTGAATTCTATAATAAAAATCCAGTCATCTGTAGATCAATGGAATTAACCCTTCAATTAAACCAAAATTAAATATACAGCATGTAACAAAACAACAGCACACATACGAACACAATTCACTTTAGACATGGTGTAATTATTAAGCTGGCAACAACAGTTTGTGCTGCTGTGGTTTGTGTGAGTGTGTGTGCATACATGCACATACTCATTCGCATTCACAAACATTTGACACAGCGCTTATCTGTGATGCTTCCACTTTACAATGTATTACATATAATAATATTAATCAAGTGGAAAGGCAAAGCTTCATAGAGATAGGGTAGTCATGTACCATAATGTTGGAAATGTTCATATAATCACAATCATCCACTGTAAGTAACAATATTCCATTTTCATAAATAACAAAATCATTTATTACTCCTTGACACATAAACAGAATAAAGTAGCATATCATACACTTACAGCAGATTTTTATGATTAAAACAAGCCCCAAAACAACACCACATGGTGCAAATAATCATAACATGCATTGTAAAACCTGATAAGTTAAGAATACTCAAAACATCTGAGGAAGCGTATTGCCTCAAAACATTTGAGTAAATGAACTAAAATCTAAACTAATCTGAACTAAAAATGAATTAAAATTTTTATGACAAGTGGGGCGCCATGGGAGCCAAACCAAGCCTAGCTTCCATGATCCCACCCCAATCATCACGACGAAAATTATATACAACTTGCTTCCATAAGCATGACATTCATTCAGACCTTTATAGTTAAGTGCTAGTTAGCAACAGCACACTAGCACATGCTAATGTAGTTATCAAAAAGATTCTCATTTTGCACTTGCATGTAAATAGTCAAACAACCTGCAGTATTATAGAGTCTTTAAGTTTTGCTGTCCATCTTCAATCTAACCACAGGCTCTACTCTTCACCACAACGGTAACACTACAAAACCAGCATAACAGAAACCTATGTAAATCCTAACATAACACAACATTTAAGTACTAACTTATGTCTCCCTATGTTAATCTTGTGCAAAAACACACAAAATAACACTTCAACATTTATTTTCCTTGTTGTCGAATGCAAAGGATGCTGGGAACTAGAAAAATCAATCATTTTAAGTTCAGCTTACTACAACGATATTTTGAGTTTACAGAACGTCTTTCATTTAAGTACAATGAACTTTCATTATTATTTGAGTGAAATTAACTCATTTAATTTAATTAATTTTACTGTTCGGTTTTACAGTGTGTTAAAACTGTTATATTAGGGCTGCCCTCGACCAAAGATTTTTCTGGTCGATTAGTAGTCGTTCATTTTAAGCATTAATCGACTAATCGCACGTTTATTAATAAACCATTTAAATCACAATAATGAGCCTTTAATTGCCTACATAGCCTAGTAAGCGCTCAAGCGCACGCATAAAACTTGCCACAGCACACCGGCAGAAGTAATGATTATGAATGTGTCAGGGAAAAACAGCAAGGAGACTGCATTAACATTTTAACAATTTATTGATAAACTAGCGCTTTCTTTGTCATGAAGTCGGCGACACTGACTCGTCTTCTCCTCAGTAGTGGATGTGCCTGTATGCAAGTTTCATAAGGATTACATAATCTGAGAAAAAATGTGTTTCTATTTGAATTGGTTCATTTTAAAGTAGACATTTCACTCTCTCTCTCTATATTTTTCATATCGGTAAGGCAAGTATACACGGAGTTTCGAAGTGAAGCTCAAGTTCACAGAGACCGAGACGGCAGAAAGCGCATCCTGTTTGCTTTCATTATTTTACAAAAGCGCAACATTTCGTTGTTACTGTGAGTGCACACAAATAGATGTAGAGTCTTTACAGATTCTAAAAATGTATTACTTTTATCTGTATGACCAAAAATTAGGAAGTACTGTATTTTAAGAGCAAGTGACCGCACCGGCGCCTCCATCTGTCATGCAGTAATCATGCTGCTATTCAGCTTCCACACAGACACTGCAATAGCGCACATTTTTCTAGGTTAACATTAGATTTAGCGGCCGTGTATAGCTGCTACAACTTACATGTTTCAAATGATAAGCAATATTTGAGGTCGATGAATGATAGGTGAGCGTTTGTATGTCCTGCCCGATGTAGCTGTATTAACACATAGACCAGCCATTAATGATCTGTCCGTCACGGACTGCTCGACTTCGCCACTTCGTGTGGATTTTTTTTTTCAGCGACTTAAGCGACTAATAAAATTTTGGTCGACCAAGCCTCTTCTCGTTGACTAGTCGACTATTCGGGGGCAGCCCTAATATACAGTGTATATATATATATATATATATATATATATATATATAATACATATTTTACATATAATACAAATGTGATGGATAATGTTCATACAGGGACCTGGCAAAATGAGTCAAAATGAGCACATTTTCAAAAATGAAAAAAAGATTTCTCCAATCATTCTCCATTAAAAGACCTTCAAAATGATGCATGATTTGTTGGAATCGGATGAAAAATGACTGAGCTACACCCGCTTAAAGTTGATAGAATCAGCACAGAAAAATCAAGTAAAGTTTTCTAAGGTTCCAAAGCAAAATCACCTAGCAACTTTGCATCTTTTCCTCCAGTTCTTTTGTTAATAATAATTACTATATTAATAATCACAATATAGTTATTTTTTATTTTATCTTCGTTATTATAAATAAGAACAGATGCAAAAAAAGTAGAACAAATATAAAAATAAATAATGCATTACCCTTTTCATATTACATTTAAACAAGCATTCAAGTAAAGCCGGGCACAGACTGTGCGATTTTCAATAGTCCATTGCGATTGTTACTTGTCAGACTGTACGAACATGATGATCATGTCATACTGCGGGATCTCAGTTTTCATTAATGTCAGACTGTACGACAATCAAGACGCATTAAAAACGGATGCACGCAAGAAAACTTGTCCAGTTTTACATTATCAATCCATACACGTTCAGTGACTGCGAGCTGCATTGCACGCAGGGCTGAAATGTTGGCTATCATTAAAAGTATATGAATGGCGGCAATACCGGCATGTTTAAGAAGAATAGTGTACACAGCACTACACACACACACGAAAACAGCAGCACAATCATAGCAAAGGCTGCATTATCATAGCAAAGGTAACATATAATATGAATTTTGTGAGCGGAGGACAGGAGCGCCGGAGTTTATGGCGGATAGAAGAAATATCTAGTATTAATTCTGATCATGACTTGTCTTGAAAAACTAAGACAGTTTGATGTTCGTCGTAGGAGAAGTCACACTGCAGGACTATGCGCCAAATCTTATGACACTGACAGAAGTTCGTCGGAGGTCAAATTTGATCGCAACGGTCATTAATCGGCTGTCAGTGAACATGTCAAACAAGCGATCAAAGACTACAGATTTTAGCCTAGGATTATAGAATTAGTCTCAGTCGACCAAATCGTAGCCAAAATCGCACAGTGTGAGCTGGGCCTAAGAAAGAAAAATCACATGTAAAAATCCCTTTAGTGTATTCATTACAAATAAATTGATTATTAAAACTACAAAAGCAGTTCAATCAAGAGCAGCGAGTGATTTTCTTTTATTGTTAGATTAATATTAATGAGACGGCCTATATATTAAGACCTCCTGTAATGCACACATCTAATATAATGTTACACATCATTTCCCCAACAGTTCCCCAAACATTCACTTAAGACAGATTATGTTTGCGTGAATACTTGGATACTTTATTTGTGTATATGTGTATATTTATCGGGATCGCGCACTGCCGGAAGCGCCATTATGCAGGAGCTTCAGATGGCAGTTAGCGTTAGAAGTGAGTGGAGAAAAGGTACTCCTCTTAGAAAACGTACAAATAAAGATAGTTTTAAATGTTTAATTGCTATTTGGAACATAGGGATCGCTAGACAAGGGCTTAATTAACTCATTTTTGTGAAAACCTCAAATTCGACCAAAATCAAAATTTTTCACTTTTTTTTTTTTTTTTTTTGCCTGTAGCTCAAAATTAGCCTGTGTGCATTCTGACTCCTTTTGCCAGCATGGGTCACATTTGTACTAACTTCCTCTGATTTCATTTTCAAAACAATCCATAACTGAGACAGCATGATAGCACCATTTGCAGGCCTCTTGAATGAATCATGAGAGAGCGATCATACAAGAGACATATAAAAGTATTGTCAGCTTGAGTTACCTTGATGAGGAATCTGATATCAGTTTCTGCTCATTATCAGGATTCTATTCCAGAGAGCAGTGTATTAAAGCAGGATTATCCACTATTTTAAGTGAACTCATTTGTCAAATATTTTTTTCCTTATAATTACTTATAATAACAGGCTGGAACAAATACAAAGAGGGCATCTTTAATTTCATAACCAAGTGAACCTTAATCTGTTTTTCTTACCTTAGTATGTTGAGTTGACAGTGTGAACTCTTCAGTGCATCAAACAGGAGCTTCACTCCTGAATCCTGCAGTTTATTGTTGCTCATGTCCAGCTCTCTCATTGAGTTTGATGATTGTAGACATGAAGACAAACTTTCACAGAACCGACCAGTGAGATTACAGCAAGAAAGTCTATAACACAAGATAAAATATGGTTCAGTATAGAGGAGATGATGATTACCATGGACAGACAAAAAACTTTTTTGTTTTGCTCAAAACAGTTTTGCTTTGAAGATTAGATAAAGTCTAATAGTTTTGGAACAACATGAGGGTGAATAAATGACAGGATTTTAACTTTTGAGTGAACTTGGGGTTGCACAGATTAGTCGTCTTTAATGCTCTGCCATGACGCTTTAAGCTTGACGTCGACTAGTCGCTGATCCTTTAATTTATACTGGTAATTTAAGTAGCAGTAAAATTATATAGTTATATAATAAAACATATTATAATGCTATTCGTTATAAACAACATGATAAAAGTCAAGAAAAAAATGAATAAAGCAAAAGTGAAACTGATATGTCTCGTTCAGCACAAATACAAATGTTTACATATTTGAAATGTAACATTTGGCGGCTAAACTATTAGGCTATTTATTACGTAAACAAGGTTTTGCACTTTACTTGTGTTCCAGTATATCAACAAAAAACATCTTTAACTGTAACTGTAAAGGGTCTATTTTTATTTATGTATACTCACAACAACAACAAAACACTGCATTTGTAAAATAAAGAAAACGAACAGGACTTGCTTTCTGCTGTTTCAGTTTCCTCTAACATGTGGCGCTGTCACAAAAATGAAAAGAAAGCCAGCGTATTGTCGCAGTTTTTTTCCCATTGGTTTTGTTAATGTGTTGTTTATTGAAACAAATTTTGTGTAGGCCTATATTTCTTTTATGTCACTTTATACTGTTTTCTTTCGTTCACATAAGCACTGCAGTGCGTGATTCACAATATGTGAATCATCTGTTGTTTATGCTGCATGTAAAGCTAAACCCCTGAAAATAAACTTGTGGTATTTTTAATGAGTCATCGACATGTATCTATTCTAATTTTATTCTAATCTAATCTAATTCTAATCTAGATCTCGCACGAGTGTCATTATGTTATGCTGATTGCAGACATATGCATCAAACATATTTCCTTTGAACTAAAATGGGAGTTAGTGTTATTGTTGCATTGTTACCGTTTAGTTGCAACACCTTATGAGCTGTCTGTCAGCATCTGTATATATATTTGCAAATTGCAAAACATTCCCATCTCCTGTGTTTCTTGTGACGTCATCAGTGACTAGTCAACCTCGACTTAACTTCAACCACATAACAGTTGACTGGATTCATTCAGCCCCTAGATTGAACTAACAATTTAGCAGTCTGTGTGGAACAGTAGCAAAAACTATCTTTTTTCATTTTAAGAATTAAAGAGAAGTAGGAAAATTGTCATGAAAGGTTACATTATGTTTTTGTACAAAAAATGTTGTCTAACAACTATAAATTATTAGAAACGTTTAAACTGCCACATTGGGCTGGCCGATACGGTATTTAAAAAAAGTGATTATGACAAGCAGTCCATTGCAAAGGCAGGGATTAAAACAAATAGTTTTTCATTTCAGTTCTTTCTCAGCAAAGCAGTATTTTGTTTCCAGTTCCAGAGTTCCAAAGACCCCGATCCATAAGGTTACTGGTTAGAATAAAATACAAGAATGGTTAATAATGTTCTTTTTATAATATATTGTGCTAATAACCCTCTATGGTATGCATTATGTTCTAACTATGAAATATTTTTTTCAAATAAGTTTTTATTACATGAAATAGCTTCAATCATACAAATCAAAACAGGTTTAAAAAAAAAAGGGGTGTACTTAGGAAAATGTTGCCATATGGCTGTTCCACAATGGAAAATGGTCAAAAAAAATTGTTTTTCTATAAAATTATTATTTTCCATTTAAATGCAAATTTCTTCAGAAATTGATAGATTTATATACTCGGAACTCATGCAAACCAAAAATAAGTAGATCCCTACCATTTAACCACTGAAGGCTAACTCATCCTCACACTCTTATCACATGGAAGAGCTACCTCTGCACTATTCCTATTGGCCTTTCTGTAAACTATTGCTGTATTCATTTTTTGAAAAGAACAAATAATTTTGTTATTTATACATAAATACAACTATACTACAATAAACACTTCAAATAAATAAATAACTGCAATCATATTATTGATGCTACTATCTATAAAAAATCCCAATGGGGAAATACATTACGTCAATTCCACTGTGGTACAGCGTTGCCATATGGCAACATACCTATTTTTCCATAGTGATACAGCATTGCCATATGGCAACATTGATATTTTCTCAATTTACAGTAAAACTGTCAGGGTCTGGCGGCTGGTGTTCTCCCTCTCACCACCAGAGGTCGCC